CGCACGCAAGGAGCAGATAATCAAGTCTAGTGACGAGGCACAGCTGGACTTCAAGCAGCTGGAACATAAGCTATCAAAGCTCAAGTCTGAAGCAAAGGATTCTGAGAACAAGGTGGATGTTTAATCTTGTTTCTTGCAGAATAATGTTCAGATAGCAGTAATAATTAAAAGCTATCATATCAAAGAATACCATGATAATGATAAAAAGAATAAGTTATAATAATGCCAGTTTTTATTGTGGATGTCTTTGCAGTGATAATGCTGAAATTTGATGTATGGGATAAATCAAAATTGCTTATGCCATTATCTTGTAACATGTGTGCAATGCACACTAAAGTATAAACCTTTTTTTGTTTTTCCTCTCTATCCTTTCTTTTCTTCTTCTTTTTTTTTAGCATCCCTGAAACTACAAACACATAAATACATCCTTAAACATATTTGCTTATATTACTTGAATATCTTGGAACATCATGTTCGTGTTCTTTTCTTTTCTTTCAGCAAAAACTTTGTACTTGTGTGTCAAAAGATATTTTAAAATCACCATTGAAACACCCATGTTATATTACAACCATGAGTCAACAGCAAATATTGTTTCAGTGTTAAGGATTTCAGAATGCAAGCAAAAGTCTTTGAGTGTATAATTGTTTGATATTATTTGTTTATTATGCAGAATCAGATGATAGTAGTATGTAGTTTGTTCTTTTTTAAGAAAATTTGAATTTTTATATAATTATAACACATGTATTCTAATTTGTAAATCCAAGTCGACTCAGAGCCCTATTTTCTGCTCCATATGGGATAATAAAACTGTTTTTATTCAGGTTGCACACATGCTGTCTGAGCATGAATGGATTGCTGAGGACCGCAAGTTCTTTGGCCAGCCTAACACCGGTTACGACTTCACAGCAAACGACCCAGTTGAGGCTGGGAGGAAGATTGCTAAGCTAGAGGAGACGAAGGCCAAGCTCTCCAAGAATGTGAACATGAGAGCCATGAACATGTTGGGCAAAGCTGAGGAACAGGTTTGTGTTTATTGTGTGTGTGTGTGTGGGGGGGGGGGTGCTTTAGTTGCAATGGTGTTATTTTGTAAGATATTTGATACAGCTTCTGGCAAATCCATGATGAATTTATTCGTTATCTGTTGGCTATTCCTTTTCGTTCAATTTTTCATATACTTCATTTATAGATTACCTTTCTCTTTTCTTTTATGATTCACTGTTATCACTTTATGGCACTTACCCTTTTTTGTGTCTTCCTTTACTTTCATTCATTTACTGAAGCTCCAATATGAGTAAACCTTTCTCCAATTTATGTAAATTGAGTTGAAATTACTTTCTCTTTAAACGTTTGCCGCAGTACAATGATTTGATGAGGAAGAAGAGGATTGTGGAAAATGACAAGGCCAAGATTGAGAAGGTCATTAAAGAACTGGATGAAAAGAAGAAGGAGGCTTTGAGACAGGCTTGGGAGCAGGTGAGGAATGACTGTAAATTAGATTGTTATTTTTAAAGTTTATGAAACAAAACAAGAAAAAAAAAAAGTGGATTGTGGCCCATTAAGGCTAGGGTGATAATACACTCTGGTTTTGTATTTATTTCTGTTTACTTATTTTTTATAAGCCACTTTTTAAGAATCCCATTTACCCCATTTATGTGTGATTTATAACTTGTCACTTTTCAGGTGAATCGTGACTTTGGCTCAATATTCTCCATGCTGCTCCCTGGCACACAAGCAAAACTTCAGCCACCCGATGGCATGGATGTATTGGATGGCTTAGAGGTGAGAAATCATATATATATAATATATATATATATTATATATATATATATATATATATATATATATATATATATATATATATATATATATATATATATATATATATTTCTTCTTTCTTTTTTTCAATGTACTATTGGCTACTTTTGAAGATTTATATTTATTTTGCAGTTTTTACTCTCCCTTTCTTCCTTTCTTTCTGATATTGTTCTGTTTGATGTACATGACTGCATTATCTTTCAGGTAAAAGTGGCCTTTGGAGATGTGTGGAAGGAGAGCTTGGCAGAGCTCAGTGGAGGCCAGCGATCTCTGGTGGCTCTCTCGCTCATCCTGGCTCTGTTGCTCTTCAAGCCAGCTCCCATCTATATTTTGGATGAGGTCGATGCTGCTCTGGATCTCTCTCACACCCAGAACATTGGTAACATGCTGCGTACACACTTCAAGCATTCACAGGTTAGTTTGGCTTGAAAGGTTGGTGAGGAATAAGATCTTATCATATCGAGTAGTGTGGTTCCTTTTGTCTTCTTTTAAGTTGATTTAACTTTCCATCTGTAATTATCAGGTGCATAATAGATACAGTCATCCTTGATTATCACGTTGTTTTTATTAATAGGGATTTTTTATTTGTTTCAGTTCATTGTGGTGTCGTTGAAGGACGGTATGTTCAACAATGCAAATGTTCTCTTCAAGACTAAGTTCGTAGATGGCATGTCTACTGTCTCACGGCACACACAGCACGTACCAAGCGGCTCCAGTAAAAGAAAATGAGCGTTTTGAGAAAATTGTCGCATTTTTATCGTAGTCTGTTTGTTTCCTTGTTTTCTCTTCTCTGATCAGAAACGGTGAAGTAACTCTTCAATTTTGAATGAGAATTTGTTCATATACTGGGATATCTGTTTGTACTCTGATATAAGTATTTAAGACTTCACAATCATTTTTCCATAATGTACAAACGTATTGATAGGCATTATAGTCTTTTTTAACTTGTGAAAAATAATTTTGCAATCTTAATGGTATGTACTACGCAGTTTCTTGAAAAGCAGTGTCTGTTTCTTGTTCATTTTGCCAGAAGAAATTTATATTCTTAGATTATATGACTTATTATTTAATGGTCTATAGGTACTAGATTTATAGTACAAAGGCTGTAAGCTAATTGTATGAGAGACTAAATGACTGTATCTTGCGATATGTCAATGCCTTTGTGGTACAAACATATCAAGATGTGTGGCTTAGAATTGATAAGATTCTTCTAAAAGGTTGCTTGTCTTTTCTTTAATATGATAGCTATAATGTGCTTCGTACTTGAAGACAATAGGAACTAATGTAATCAGGAAGATCTTCCCAGTAAGGAACAATGTTGCTTTGACCCTTACTTGCAAGGACTCTAGTTTTAGGAAGTGAAAAGATTTCAGATAATAATTTTTGTACAAAAATTTATTAAAATTTATATATATCTTAGGATATTTGTTTCAATCTCCCAGGAATGTCCAATATCAAATTTAGTATATGTCTGACCAAGGCCAAGTATGGATCTGACTTGTGTCCAAGTGCCCAGCCATGCTTAGTGTTTCAACTGCAAAAAGCACCGTCGTACTAGACTGCATGTCTCTCACTTGAGTAACACCTCGCATAGTACTTCTCAAGGACACAAGGACACATTCTCTATTTTTGCCGTAGTTTGCGTTCATGGTGCATAATTTTTTTAAGAAAGAAAGAAAAACATTTTACTGATTCAAAATCATTATCACTAGTCTGACAGGCCATGTAAGTTTAAATCCTCAGTTTCAAATTAGCCATTTCTTGTTTATTTGTTTTGGGTAATAAAAAACAAACTTTGTTATAATGAACTCTAAAAGTTTTACATAAAATCTGTAATATATTTTTTGTTGACTAAAGATGCTTAAAGATATTGATCATTACTTTAAGTAAATTACAGACAATAGATTTTAATTGCACCCACAAAAGCCTGGAGATACATGAAGGAAACAATGCTCTTGGTCAGGCTATTTATGGCTTCCTTCAACCCCCAGATTTTGCACCAAAATGATGAGATTCAGCCTAGATAGCTGTGCTTACAGCCAGACCTGCATGTACGCAAGGCCAGTTGAACCGAACCTTTAGAGAACCTTTGTTTCTCAGACCTCAGCTCCCCTCCAGAAACCCTAGACCTCCAAAACTTCCTGAACATGACCCAAGAGAACACTCTTATCTACCCTCCACTATCTCTACATTCTCCATCTTCACCCTCCCTTCTCTCCCTATTATTCCTTCTGCTTCTTCCTGGATTCACAGGTAACTCCCTTTTGTCACAACAGTGTCCTTTCCCGGATCCTTCCTCTTGACGTTCTTCCTGATACTTCACCATCCCCTGGCCCCTTATCTTATTCCCAGGATTCTCTGCCTACTTCTCCGATATCCATTTATACCTTTATTACTTAATGATTACTCCAAAATGGTTCCTCTTTTAGTCCCGCACACTTTGTCGTCCTATCCTAGCTTTACTGCAGCCCATACCTACCTATTCTAATTGTGCTCCTTTCTCCTATCCCCCAACCTGTTAGAGATCCTCACGGAAACCCCCACTCTTTCCTTTGACAACTTGTTCTTCTTCAGACACAAAGATGCCTTCCATTTGAAATAACCATCCTTCACCCTCAACCCCCTTCCCCCTTTTACTAATTCCATCTTGCTCCATTTACTCCCCCTCTTTCCTCATTTCACTACCATACCATCCCTATAGTGCTGTATGGCATTTGACATTTAACACATTTTGTTATACTTGTTAATTCATTTTTACTGTTTTTGCCATAGTGTTATGTGATCCTTGATGTCTAAGGCATTAACCATTATTAACCAGCCACCCCTCTCCCTCTCTCTCTCTCTCTCTCTCTCTCTCTCTCTCTCTCTCTCTCTCTCTCTCTCTCTCTCTCTCTCTCTCTCTCTCTCTCTCTCTCTCTCTCTCTCTCTCTCTCTCTCTCACTCTCTCACTCTCTCACTCCTCTCCCTTCCTCCCCCTCATTATGCTTCACAGAGTGCTCCATTTGATTCATGTTGTGTAGGAATGTACAGTGAAAAAAAAGTTTTAAAATAGTTTATTATAATATCACATATTTACAACATACTGAACTAATCCTAATCCTCCATTCAAAATATGTGCCTCGAAACAACATTCATCTTTAAACAAATAATTAGTTAAAATGTTCAGTTTGCTTATCACATCATGACTAGACAATCAGCTGTACGCAAAATACCAAGAACCATGTAATGTTGAAAATGATGAATATAACGATGAGGACCCGAGGAGATAGTCTTTCGAATCTGACTTTCCACTTGGTGTAGAGTTCGGGTCGCGGAGAATTTGCTTGGGAACCGGTGCCTCCTGTCTGTTCGGGATAGTGAGTAGGGTCATGGTAGGTTATATATGCAGGGTGAATGTATAATGGTATTATACTATTGCAACTACCCCAAATACTACTAGTAATCTTATTATTATCATGATTATCATTATCATTACTATTATTATTATCATTATCATCATAACTATTATTTTCATTACCAAGGGTGGGGAGCACATGCCCGCATCCCCCGCTCTCCCAAAATCTGCAACTGAACCAAACCAAAAAACGCAAGTTTTCCCCCTCTCTCCTCTCTACCTTCTCCCTCTCCTCATACTTTACTCCAACTCCCTCTCCCTCTCTCTCTTCTGTCCATTGTCCCTCCTCCCATCTCCCCTCTCTCCTCTTATCTCCCTCTCTCTTCCCTCTCCCCTGTCTCCTCCTCTCCCTGTCCCCTTTTTCCGTCATTCCTCACTTGTCTCGGATTGCGTTTCGGCTCCACTGAAACCATCCTCAGTTGCTCCGCCCTGAAATGCAAGTGGACGACGTACGTGTACTCGACCAGCACAGTGAACACGAGCACAATACAGAACATCATCCACTGGTCGATAGCTTTGGCGTAGGAGACCTTCGGACTCTCTTGCCTGTTGGGGTCGAAAGAGGAATGGATTCGGTTAAGTGGTGAGTGCGGACAGGAAGGATGAGGGTGGGGATTGGTTGAGTGTGTGTGTGGGGTGGGGGGGAGGATGCAAGGGGATGATTAGGGAAAGGGGGGGGGGGGTGTTTTGGTGCAAGGGGGTAAGTGTATGATTAGGGAAAGGGGTGTGGGGTTTTTGGTGGCAAGGGTAAGTGTATGATTAGGGAAAGGGGTGTGGGGTGTTTTGTGCAAGGGGGTAAGTGTATGATTAGGGAAAAGGGGGGGTGTTGTTTTGGTATTTTTTTTTTTGGTGTTGTAAAACGAGTGTACTGATATGTCATGCTTTCAGGTGCTTGTGGGGGTGAATTAGAGACAATTTGTCAAAGATAAGGACGATATCTATATTTTAACTGTTTTTTTCTTGTCTTTCTAGTCGTATTTTTCTCTGTTATCGGTGTATGAACATGGCTGTTTCTGTCTCTCTCTCTCTCTCTCTCTCTCTCTCTCTCTCTCTCTCTCTCTCTCTCTCTCTCTCTCTCTCTCTCTCTCTCTCTCTCTCTTTCTCTCTCTCTCTCTCCCACTCTCTCTCTCTCCCTCTCTCTCATACACACACACACACAGTCAACCCCACACCCCCATCAAACACCCACCCCATCCACCCACTCACACACCCCATACCCCACCCACCCACCCCACAACCCCCGCCTCACCGCACAGTATTGAACATGGAGACGATGGTGAGCAGCGTGGTGATGGTGAGGACCGTCCCGCCCGGCAGGTGCTCAGGAGGAATCAGGAAGGTGAGCCAAGACACGAACACGAACAGACTCGAGGGTATGTACGTGTTCATGAGGTGGTAAGTGGCCTTGCGGGAGAGGATGATGTCGACTCGTACTGAGGAGAAGGAGGCTGTGGGAGGGGGAGGGGGTTAGATTTTAAAATTTAGTTTCAATTTCATTTATTACAATAGATATTCGTTGCTGTGACACACTTATTTTATTTTGCTTCTAAATCTCTCCTGTGTGCTAGGAATGGCCGGGTGGGGTGGGGGGGAGGGGTGTTAGATTTAAAAATTTAGTTTCAATTTCATTATTACAATAGATATTCTTTGCTGTGACACACTGTCTGTTTTATTTTGCTTCTAAATTCTTCCTGTGTGCTAGGAATGGCCGGGGTGGGGGGAGGGGGTTAGATTTTAAAAATTAGTTTCAATTTCATTTATTACAATAGATATTCTTTGCTGTGACACACTTATTTTATTTTGCTTCTAAATCTCTCCCTGTGTGCTAGGAATGGCCGGGGGGGGGAGGGGTGTTAGATTTAAAATTTAGTTTCAATTTTATTTATTACAATATATATAATTTGCTGTGACACACTTATTTTATTTTGCTTCTAAATCTCTCCCTGTGTGCTAGGAATGGCCGGGTGGGGTGGGGTGGGAGTGTTAGATTTAAAAATTTAGTTTAATTCATTTGTTAAATATATATTCTTTGCTGTGACACACTTATTTTTTTTTGCTTCTAAATCTCTCCCTGTGTGCTAGGAATGGGCGGGGTAGGGGGGGGGGGGTTAGATTTTAAAAATTTAGTTTCAATTTCATTTATTACAATAGATATTCTTGCTGTGACACACTTGTTTTATTTTGCTTCTAAATCTCTTCCTGTGTGCTAGGAATGGGCGGGGGGGGGGGAGGGGTTAGATTTAAAAATTTAGTTTCAATTTTATTTATTACAATAGATATTTTTGCTGTGACACACTGTCTGTTTTATTTTGCTTCTAAATCTCTCCCTGTGTGCTACGAATGGGCGGGGTGGGGTGGGGGGGGGGTGTTAGATTTAAAAATTTAGTTTCAATTTCATTTATTAAATATTATATCTTTGCTGTGACACACTTATTTTATTTTGCTTCTAAATCTCTTCCTGTGTGCTAGGAATGGGCGGGGTAGGGGGGGAGGGGGGTTAGATTTAAAATTTAGTTTCAATTTCATTTATTACAATAGATATTCGTTGCTGTGACACACTTATTTTATTTTGCTTCTAAATCTCTCCCTGTGTGCTAGGAATGGGCGGGGTAGGGGAGAGGGGGGTTAGAAAAAAAATTTAGTTTCAATTTTATTTATTACAATATATATAATTTGCTGTGACACACTTGTTTTATTTTGCTTTCTAATCTCTCCTGTGTGCTACGAATGGCCGGGGTGGGGGGGGAGGGGGGTTAGATTTTAAAATTTAGTTTCAATTTCATTTGTTACAATAGATATTCTTTGCTGTGACACACTTTTTTTATTTTGCTTCTAAATTCTCTTCCTGTGTGCTACGAATGGCCGGGGTAGGGGGGGAGGGGGGTTAGATTTTAAATTTAGTTTCAATTTCATTTATTACATAGATATTCTTTGCTGTGACACACTTATTTTATTTTGCTTCTAAATCTTTCCTGTGTGCTACGAATGGCCGGGGTGGGGTGGGGGGGGGAGGGGGGTTAGATTTTAAAATTTAGTTTCAATTTCATTTATTACAATAGATATTCTTTGCTGTGACACACTTATTTTATTTTGCTTCTAAATCTCTCCCTGTGTGCTACGAATGGCCGGGGTAGGGGGGGAGGGGGTTAGATTTTTAATTTAGTTTCAATTTCATTTATTACAATAGATATTCTTTGCTGTGACACACTTATTTTTTTGCTTCTAAATCTCTTCCTGTGTGCTACGAATGGCCGGGGTGGGGTGGGGGGAGAGGGGGGTTAGATTTTAAAAATTTAGTTTCAATTTCATTTATTACAATATATATACTTTGCTGTGACACACTTATTTTATTTTGCTTCTAAATCTCTTCTTGTGTGCTACGAATGGCCGGGTTTGGGGGGGGGGGTTAGATTTAAAAATTTAGTTTCAATTTCATTTATTACAATATATTCTTTGCTGTGACACACTTATTTTATTTTGCTTCTAAATCTCTCCTGTGTGCTACGAATGGGCGGGTGGGGGGGGGGTGTTAGATTTAAAAATTTAGTTTCAATTTCATTTGTTACAATAGATATTCTTTGCTGTGACACACTTATTTTATTTTGCTTCTAAATCTCTCCCTGTGTGCTAGGAATGGCCGGGGTGGGGGGGAGGGGGGTTAGATTTTAAAAATTAGTTTCAATTCATTTATTACAATAGATATTCTTTGCTGTGACACACTTATTTTATTTTGCTTCTAAATCTCTCCTGTGTGCTAGGAATGGCCGGGGTGGGGTGGGGGGGGGGTGTTAGATTTAAAAATTTAGTTTCAATTTCATTTATTTAAATAGAATATTCGTTGCTGTGACACACTTATTTTATTTTGCTTTAAATCTCTTCCTGTGTGCTACGAATGGCCGGGTTGGGGGGGGGGTTAGATTTTAAAATTTAGTTTCAATTTCATTTATTACAATAGATATTCTTTGCTGTGACACACTTGTTTTATTTTGCTTCTAAATCTCTCCTGTGTGCTAGGAATGGCCGGGGTGGGGGGGGCGGTTAGATTTTATAATTTAGTTTCAATTTCATTTATTACAATAGATATTCTTTGCTGTGACACACTTATTTTATTTTGCTTCTAAATCTCTTCCTGTGTGCTAGGAATGGCCGGGGTGGGGGGGGGGGGGTTAGATTTTATAATTTAGTTTCAATTTCATTTATTACAATATATATACTTTGCTGTGACACACTTATTTTATTTTGCTTCTAAATCTCTTCCTGTGTGCTAGGAATGGCCGGGGGGGGGGGGGGTAGATTTAAAAATTTAGTTTCAATTTCATTTATTACAATAGATATTCGTTGCTGTGACACACTTATTTTATTTTGCTTCTAAATCTCTTCCTGTGTGCTAGGAATGGCCGGTGGGGGGGGGGGGGGTTAGATTTATAATTTAGTTTCAATTTCATTTATTACAATAGATATTCTTTGCTGTGACACACTTATTTTATTTTGCTTCTAAATCTCTCCCTGTGTGCTAGGAATGGGCGGGTAGGGAGAGGGGGGTTAGATTTAAAAATTTAGTTTCAATTTTTATTTATTACAATATATATAATTTGCTGTGACACACTTGTTTTATTTTGCTTCTAAATCTCTTCCTGTGTGCTACGAATGGCCGGGTGGGGTGGGGGGGAGGGGTTAGATTTTAAAATTTAGTTTCAATTTCATTTATTGCAATAGATATTCGTTGCTGTGACACACTTATTTTATTTTGCTTCTAAATCTCTCCCTGTGTGCTAGGAATGGGCGGGTAGGGGGAGAGGGGGTTAGATTTAAAAATTTAGTTTCAATTTTATTTATACAATATATATAATTTGCTGTGACACACTTATTTATTTTGCTTCTAATCTCTTCTGTGTGCTAGGAATGGCCGGGGTGGGGTGGGGGGGAGGGGGGTTAGATTTTAAAAATTAGTTTCAATTTTTCATTTATTACAATAGATATTCTTGCTGTGACACACTTATTTTATTTTGCTTTCTAAATCTCTTCCTGTGTGCTACGAATGGGCGGGTGGGGGGGGGGTTAGATTTAAAAATTTAGTTTCAATTTCATTTATTACAATAGATATTCTTTGCTGTGACAACACTTATTTTATTTTGCTTCTAAATCTCCTGTGTGCTAGGAATGGCGGGGTAGGGGGGGGAGGGGGTTAGATTTAAAAATTTAGTTTCAATTTCATTTTATTACAATAGATATTCTTTGCTGTGACACACTTATTTTATTTTGCTTCTAAATCTCTTCCTGTGTGCTAGGAATGGCGGGGTGGGGTGGGGGTTAGAGTTTAAAAAATTTAGTTTCAATTTTCATTTATTACAATATATATATTTTGCTGTGACACACTTATTTTATTTTGCTTCTAAATCTCTTCTGTGTGTGCTACGAATGGCCGGGGTAGGGGGGGGGGGGGTAGATTTTAAAATTTAGTTTCAATTTCATTTATTACAATAGATATTCGTTGCTGTGACACACTTATTTTATTTTGCTTCTAAATCTCTCCTGTGTGCTACGAATGGGCGGGGTGGGGGGGGAGGGGGTTAGATTTTTAAATTTAGTATTCAATTTCATTTATTACAATAGCATATTCTTTGCTGTGACACACTTATTTTATTTTGCTTCTAAATCTCTCCCTGTGTGCTAGGAATGGCCGAGGGGGTGGGGGGGAGGGGGTTAGATTTTAAATTTAGTTTCAATTTCATTTATTACAATAGATATTCTTTGCTGTGACACACTTATTTTATTTTGCTTCTAAATCTTCTGTGTGCTACGAATGGGCGGGGTAGGGGGGGAGGGGTTAGATTTTATAATTTAGTTTCAATTTCATTATTGCAATAGATATTGTTTGACACACTTATTTTATTTTGCTTCTAAAATCTCTCCTGTGTGCTACGAATGCCGGGTTGGGGGGGTAAGGTTTAAAAATTTAGTTTCAATTTCATTTATTACAATAGATATTCTTTGCTGTGACACACTTATTTTATTTGCTTCTAAATCTCTCCCTGTGTGCTACGAATGGCCGGGGTGGGGGGGGAGGGGGGTTAGATTTAAAAATTTAGTTTCAATTTCATTTATTACAATATATATTCTTTGCTGTGACACTCTTATTTTATTTTGCTTCTAAATCTCTTCCTGTGTGCTAGGAATGGCGGGGGTGGGGGTGGGGGGGGGGGTGTTAGATTTAAAAATTTAGTTTCAATTTCATTGTTACAATAGATATTCGTTGCTGTGACACACTGTCTGTTTATTTTGCTTCTAAATCTCTTCCTGTGTGCTAGGAATGGGCGGGGTTACCATCCACTGCTAGCGCAAGATTGCAAGACCAACACAGGTTGCAGAAAGG